ATATTCAATGAGGTGATGTACAAGAACAGAGACAGTGTCAATGATAGCCAAAGCAGTGGGAGCGCACTACGGATACAGGTGAATCCGAGTACATGGATTTGGAGAAACTTCCAGATGGGGGCGACAAAGTCAATTCTGACGAAAAACGGAGACAGCTCCAGATGCAGAGACTACCCAGGGCGTGGAACTTAGGAGGTCATCAAGGGTACCCAAACCGAATCCTAAATATCTCTCATTACTTAGTTATTTGCTTTTGACAGATAGTGGAGGATTAAAGTTCTATGAGGCTATGCAGGTGAGTGAATCTCACAAGTGGGAGCATGCGATGCAAGAGGAGATGAATTCTCTACACAATAATAAGACATGGGAGTTAGTCCAGTTACCTGCACAGAAAAAAACCTTACATAACAAATGGGTTTATCGGGTCAAGCAGAAGAGTAATGAAAGCAAGAGATACAATGCCAGATTAGTCGTGAAGGGATTCCAACAACGGGAAGGAGTGGACTATACGGAGATATTTTCCCCGTGACCATTGACAAACTAGAGTTGTGCGCAACTTCAGTTACCCTTCACGTGTAGGAGATGAAGGCGGAGCCACACCAGGAGGATCGTCAGGATCATCGGGTTGATGATGATTAAAGAATGGATTTTTTCCGTGTAGGAAGATGCTTGCGAAGAAGGGAGAGTTCGGGTGAGCTCGTTGATTGTGCTTTGGTCTTCAAGTTGGAGATTGTTAGTCTAAGGGATGTAGACTCAAAGCTGAAATCAAACAAATTGTTGGATAGCAGATTTTCTAATTTGTTTTTATAACAGAATTCTTAATCTGTTTTGGTAACAGGAATCTTAATCTGTTTTGATAACAGGTTATTAGGATTCCTAATCTGTTTTGTTTTTTTGGTTTTAAAATTCCTAGTCTGTTTTGGTTTTAGGTTTTCTATATATATGGAATGACTTAGAAGAGATTAGACATCAAAAAAAGAGGGTTTAGAGAGAATTCTTCAGAGGGATCTCAGAGAGATTAGATTCTATTTGTGGGTATTGTAATCTTCTTCAATATTAATCAAAGAATTATGTGGTGTGGCTCCCGAGGACGTAGACACGATTGTCGAACCTCGTTAAATCTTGTGTGTTTTTTCTTGTTTACTTTTCTATAAGTTTTTTATCTTTTATTTGATGTGATTTTTTCTACTTTTCTACTCTCAAATACAAGATCCGGAAGGGCAATGGTTCGATTTGATTGTTTCAAATCCCTAACAGAAAGCCGGTTATTAATCATACATCCAATGTAATTGCTGCAAGTAGTTCAAATAGATAAACAACCCCAAAAAGGCTCACCAAGCAAGGATTTCAAATTCTGGACAAATGTTTGTAATGAATAGTTATGGTGTAGAAAAAACACATAGTAAAGCCGACAGCTTGGGAAATAATTGCATGAGATGACAACTACAATCAGTGTTGGACAATTCGTTGCGTAAGGTTACACAATTAGAACTTATACGATATTAGGAGTGTTTCCCTGAACTATTTAACAATAAAAAGAATATTTTTACCAAAAATCAACTTACTTCTAATCAAAGAATCACAAACCTAAAAGGTCTAATTGGAACATACACCAAACTTTGTGGGTAGGAAATCCCTTCAAAATTACAACTGTTATAGGTGAGAAAGAAATAAAAGTACGAAATGGTTACATACTTAATTCATAACACTATCTTGATGTTTCTAAAGTAATTTTCGCTGATGATGTGTCTAAGCAAGAAAACTACAACAAACCCACAAGGCTTGAATAGAAGAAAAAAAAGGTGTGATGCTACAATGGAGAAACCTATCATGGCAGATTCAAAAAAAGAAGAAATGCTAACTGAAAGATAATAACAAACTATCGATCATGATAAATTTGGAAGTAGCCATCAAGAAAGGCACCTCTACAAGACTGCAATGCTACAACTGACTAACAATTCTTGTTAAATGAAATAAGAATGTATAATCATAGAGCGTTAGGTTCTCTATATTACCAGATTGCCAATAATAGCAAGGGGAAAAGAAATAAACAAATGTAATCAAATCAGAACTATAGTTGTAGTGTAAGTGTAGCCAAATGGTTCACATGTTTTTCTTACAGTTAATGCAAGATTATTATGTACAAAGGATCGTGGGTGCTTTTTAAATACCATGAGGTTCTAATTAATTTTTACTAAGATCTGCAAATGTTTTGTGCATGACGGACGAAGAATCAAGTTTGACATTACCACAAATTATTGTACAGTAAATAGTCGGCTAATTACTGAAACTATTATGTGTGCTTTCCGCTGTTCTTCCTCAAAAAATGATGTTATCCAGTGTTCATCAAGGTATACAACAAAAAAGTTTGAAGTGATAATCACAATCAAACTACACAGTGAAAAGAGGATAACAAGGTTCATCTAGATCCTATAGTATTGCTACTTGAACATTAAAATAACAAGATAGTTAAAATTCCCATTTTATCATTTTACCATTAATCGGACATATTTTTAACTAAATTTCTTGAACTGACTCCCATGGTTAATAGTTGCCCATTAGATTTGTTTTCGCTAGACACCACTCTACCAAGAAACTTAATAGCTATATCAATCAAAACAAAGCTGTAGCATGAGTTATTATGCTGGACATTCATAATACAAAGTTAAGAATAGTAGTTGTAAATAGTAGCATGGGCTCATAGCATTACCATGATCGGCTTAATAATTGTGGAAAACAAGAGAATTGAAAATCAAGTTTTCTCTGCAAAGTGGTGGTTAGTTAAACTATCCAAAGGTAGGAGCAGAAATAGAAAAATTGCCATGTCCAGAAACCACCTCTACACACATAGAATCGATTCTATCAAAAGCTTTTGCTTTTTTAAAAGAAAAAAACTAATCAACAGCTCTCTGAGTTTTGAGAGACATAAAAATCTAATGAGCTGTAGCTACCACATGATTATCAAAAAAACAAAACAATCTTAGCGCGCGGTCATAAAACAATAAAATTGAATGAGTTACCACCAAAACAATTCATTCAATATCCAATATTGTCACTCACTAACTCAAAATTTTCGTGCCGAAAAGGAAAAGTAGCCTAAAAGACAGTAAGTGTCGTTATTTTTCAAAAGATCCAACTTAGAATTAAACCAAAGGACTTTCATTAGATTTATCGGTAAAATAGTACGATGACATCATAACATAAACATGTCATTTCTAAATAGGAAAACTAGAGCCAATGTAGTAGCTACTAGTCATCTTTGTCACTTGTGGAAGCCATTGCTCCAAAGATTTTCTTTATTTCCCTTCAAGGAGTACTGAGATTCTTTTTTCTAAACAAGGGGAGACAAGGGGCCAGAGTTAAGAGAGAGAAAGCCAGCGAAAAGCCAGGTAATAAAGAGCTAGAGAGAGAGAGAGGGCAATTATTTCGACAACGTTAGACAAAACCCTACTCTCCCTCTCTCTCCCTCTCTCTCTCTCTCTGCCCTACATGCATGAACACGATTTGACCGCTCCACTCTGCACATCAAGATTCTCAAAGAACATTTCACAATGATTTCACTAAGACTTTAATTAAAAAATGCATAAATTCATGGTTTTTTTTACCGGAGGTTGTGGCGGTGGCGGTGGTGGTGGCGCATAG